TCAGGCTCACACCTGGCACCTGGGTGGGAAGTTGGGGCAGGCTCAGGCCCAGCAGCCCGGGAAGGTCACCGCCCCGCCATCTTGTGAGCTCTGAACGGTACCCTATAAATGGGTTAATCTAGGATATGTGAATTATATCTCAATAAAGCTGTTACCAGGGGGAAAAAAAGGTAACCCAAGGTTACTACTGGGTGCCAGGACATCTGGTGTCTCAAGATGGGCCAGCTGTGGTTTTTGATTCCTTGGCCTCCCCCCCTTGTCATCTGATCCCTCTCTTCGTGCTACACCGTCCTAGGTCTCGTGTTTCTCTAAAACTGTGGGCTGGGACTGGGTGAGACCAGTTGTTTGACTAGAGCCCCTTTGGCCAGTCTTGGCCCAAGCTCCAGTGAGACAGTGTCTCCTCTGGCCAGCCCATGAGAGAGCCTGTGGGCCTCTCAGAGCCCAACTGCCAAGGGGTTCTGAGCTAACCCCAAACAGAGGGCCCTGGGCAAGTGTGGGCAGTGCCCCCCACTCACCAGCCTCCATCTGGCTCCTCAGAGCCCCAGGTGATTTGGGTCAGTTCTGAGGGAGGCTGTTAATGATAGGCCTTGCCTTTGTTTGGGAATCTGAATTCTAGGGCCCTGATCCAGGATCACAGGAATAGGGTCCAAAGGTACTTCTGAGACTCAGTACCCTCAACCCAATCCTTGGATTTTATAATGGCAAGAGAGATCCCTGTGTGTGTCACCCACTGGTACTTGCTGAGCAACCCCCCTGCCTGAGGGGTGCTCCCAGTCCTCCGTGCAAGGGAGAATATGCCTAAATCTTGTAACTGCATGAATTCCCAGTGCTGCGGAAGAACCGACCAGAAGCAAAAGTTCCCCATGTGCAGGAGTCACAGGCGGGCGAGAGAAGAGCCAGCAGACATCTCCGCAGCGGTTAGGCATCAGAGCTGGTGGGGGAGAGCCACTTCCATCACTCTCCAACGGAATGAGCTTCCTTAGGCTGTAAACTCCACAAACCTCAGTTTCCTTGCCTGTCAAGGCTGTGAGGGATAGAAGAAGAGAAAGAGGTGGGTTAGGGAGAGGAGAGGATTGTCGGCAGGAAGTTATACCGCTGTATCTCCACCTCCCTTCCCCACCCTCTTAGCTTCTCCAAGCCCTCATGGGATCCCCAGGGGTCAGTCCTTTAGAAAAGAAAGTCACAAAAGAGATTGGAGAAGCCCTAGGTGGGAATAGGCACAAAAATGATGGGCAAGTTCCGCTCCCGGCTGGAGAAGTTCAAGGCTTGGCAGTCCCTGTGTGGGCGCCTGGAAACCTTCTGCCCACCCCCTAGGTCCTTTCTCTGCTGCGGGGTTCAGATACGCAATTACATGGCATCAGTCTCTCTGTGCCAAAAGCCAAACAAAAAATGCACGCACCCTCCTAAAACCCCAGCAGGTTCAATCCAACAAGGAAGTATTCCAACCGTGAGTTTTAATCTTCGAGCAGTGTTGTTCAAGTGTGTGGACTGGCATTCTGTACCGAGCAGACATGCCACAGCGTGGGACAGAGCCTGGAAAATCAGGAGGTGGCACCTTGGCAGGCACCTTAAGGACAGGCAAAGGATGACCTTCCCGGAGGGCAACTGGTGGGCTGCTTACCCTGAACATGGGGGAGGGGTAGCCAGGCTGGAAGGGAAACAGTTGTGGGATTGGTATGACCAACAACACAGCCCCCACCTGCTACGGCAGCTCAGCTGGTCCGCCAGGGGTGACCTTTGCCTGGGGGGGGGACCTGATGTTGTGAGTGGGGAGGGACGGCTCTGGGGGAATTGCGAGGCTGAGACAGGAGCCACTGAGATTGCTGACTCCAGGGCAAGCTGGAGAGGATTGTCGGGGTAGGGTTGGGGGCGTGAGATCCCACACAGCCAGCCGCAAAATGCCTTCGCCAGACAAAGTCACGTGGTGTAGGCATGCTCGCCTCTGGTTGTGTGACCCAGATGAAGGGTGCAGAAGAACAGACCATTAACCTTGGTCACAGGGCGGGAGGAGCTGGGCAAGAAAAGGGGCAGGAACAGACGTAATGATGCGTTTTGTCTGCATACCTTTGTGGTATCTCCTTGCATTTGTTACAACCGCTGTGATTTGAAAGATAGCAAAGTACAAAAAAGTAATCATTTACTAATCCGTTCTGTCCCTCCCTCCTCGCAAAGACCTTTTGCTTCCAGCCAGCAAATCCAAAGAGAAAAATCAACCTGGCAACTTTTGGCAGTACAGCCTGAAGCAGGTAAGGTGTGGGAGGTAACTTACATTGGGGTCTTCTGTGTGCCAGGCGCCACACTCTGTCAGGCACACATCCTCATGGAACTTTCTCCACCTGCCATAGGGTTAGTACTTCATTTTACAGGTGAAAGATTTCAGCTTAAGGAGACGGAGTAATTTAGTGAAATAATTAGTAAGATTTGCCTATTGGCAGAAGACCCAGGAGAAAACAGAATTCCCATCAAAAGGGTTTAGCTCAGGAGAACCTATTGTTTTAGATTTTATTTATTTATTTGAGAGAGAGAACACGTGCCCAAGGTGAGGGTAGGATGAAGGGAGAGGGAGAAGCAGACTCCCTGCTGAACAGGGAGCCCGATGCAGGGCTCAATCCCAGGACCCTGAGATCATGACCTGAGCTGAAGGCAGGTGCTTAATGACTGAGGCACCCAGGTGCCCCTAGTTCAGGGGAACTTAAAGAAGGGGACTATTTACAGACCTGCAGACTCAGCGGTAAGAGAATCCACAAGGGATGATGAACACCAGGGACTAAAAATAGCAGGAAGCCAGCACCACCCCTGGGGGGCAAAGAGAACAAGGGGAAGGAATAGTGTTATCACGGGAGCCCAGGTGAGCAGAAGGAGGGAAGAAATATCCTCAACCACTCTCCTCGCCTGCCTTCCTGCCTCTCATTGGCTGACCCAACAGGAAGCGGGAGGGGGGGCTACAGTCTGTAGGGGCTGAGAGTGGGGAGAATGAATGGGGATGGGAAGAAATGCAGAACCAACAGTGTAGACCGCTGAATGTGGAGTTGGAGTTGAACTCAAAACTCACTGACTCCGAGGAGTCCTTCTGCTGCCCACACATCCCCCTGCCTCCCACACACCACTCTGTATGTCGGGTCATGCTGCCCAGTTAAGGACCCAAGCCTGAGTCTTTCCTGCATTCTCCAGCCAGAATACCCAGAATTCTAAAGAACAGAGCGGTGTTGGTCAGGTTAGCAGCGTCTGGCAGAGAAACGAGAGCCGTGTATTCCAAGCCTGACACTTGTGTGCACTTACAATGCCCCGCTCACACTCCGCCTCTGCCAGGAGCCCTATCCCCCTTCCGTTGGCCTGCATGGGGCATTCCACGAAAGACGATGTTTCGTTTATTGCTATATCCCTGTATCTGGCTTGATGCCTGGCACAAAAGAGACTCACAGTGATTAGTCATGGTAGAACTCAATTGCCTCTTCAAATACCCTTTCCTTGGGGCCTTGGGTTTTTATTTCATAGAGTTTTCCAGAAGCTTCTCTACCTTCTATTGCAGATAAAGAATGTGCTCTTTCCAGCCACTGATTCACTTACGCTTCACAAAACACTTCTTAGGGGGTGCCCTTAGAGCAACAGGTCATGGCTAAGAAGAATGAGCCACTGGAAGTTAAATGACTTGCCTGAGGTCACCAGGAGAAAGTCTGGCAGCTCTCACCAGCATCTACTCTTAGCCTCTGCTCCACCCAGTATCCCAGGGGACCTGCCTTATAACAGGCACCATTTCCTTTAACCCTGGTGGGACTAGAGCTACCACTTCCTGGTTTTTTCTCTGGCCTGTTGGCCCTCACTTTCCTCTGCCCCCATGAGCCTAGCTCCAGGCCTGCAGAAGCCCCTCTCAGCAGTGGCTCACGGTCACCCCTCCCCCTGCTGCCAACTGCTCAGGCCTTTTTAGGGGTCCCTACTCCTGGGAGAGATGCTGCCCTCTCTTAAGGTGCATGGAGAGTGGGCAGGGAGGGGAGGGGGAACTTTAGCTCCTGCCTGGGCTTGGGGGAAGGGTGCCTTCTGACTTGCTGGCCTTTACAGTGGGAAGGGAGACTGCTTTGGCAGGATTCATGGCTCCACCCTCAATGTCCCTTTGCTGTGAGCTCCGGGGCCATCCCCACCTCCCCCTGCTTCCCAGCTGCACTGAGGAGAGTTCGTGGCCAGCTTTCCTCACTTCCTCCCTTTGGCCCCCTCTGCCTGCTGAGCCCAGGGCCCAGCCCTGCTCCCAGTCCCGGCACCCCCGCTCCCAGGTCTGAGTTTAGGAACTGGAAAATGGGCAGGGACCAGCCAGCAAAGGGAGGCCTTAGCATTTAGGGCCAAGCCTGGGGTTGCTGGTATGGATAGGGGTGGTGACTGGAGTCCAGGAAGGAAATGCATAGGTGGACAAAGGAGGAAGAAAGCTGGAGACCTTGATCTCAGAGACCTGGAACAGCCCCTTGGGTGCAATTTGTTATTTACTGAGCCCTTAGTGTGTGCCAACCACTGCCCTATCTGTATACTCTCATTGCCAGTCTATAAAGTAGGTATCAGAATCCCCAGTTTGCAAACAAACTGAAGCACAGTTTGGGTTCTGCCTAAGGACACGTGGAGTCGGCTAAATAGGGTTTTAAACCCAGCCCCATCCTTTTCTCCTGTAAGCAAGGAAGAAGCTGAACTGGGAACCCTAGGGCACATGGACTGACCCCAAGGGAGTGGGGGAGCAGGAAAACCAACTGTCCTAGGGTCTCAGAGTGATAAATTGTGTTTACTGTCAGGGTCCCCACCAGGGACCATATGTGGGAGATGGTCCCAGCTTCCTGCCGGGCTCGGGAGGCTCTCTAGCCGCCGCCCCTCTGGCACGGGGCTGGGGTCAGGGCAGAGCTGGGGTCCAGGGCTCGAGGAGTCTATCAGGGAGGCAGACGCCAGCAGGCAGGATGACAGACTCCAGAAGCCCTCCCTGAACAAAGACTGGGTGGGAGGCGGCCTGGTGTGTCCCCACCCCGCCTCCCCCGGCGACTGCTGAGCCGCGACCACAGACAGCGAGGCGGAGCGAGCATGGCGGGGCCCAGGGCCGCCCTGCTGCCCCTCGTCCTGCAGCTCACCATCCTGGCCCAGGTCTCGGTGACCGGCGGAGGTACGTCCGGGCGCCGAAGCCTCGGGACGGGGGCGGTCCGGGGGACCCCGTTTCTCACTCAGCGCAGCCCGATGTAAGGAGCTGGGGCCAGGCTGTCTCTCCCGACCCCCGCCGCGGGGTGCGAGCGCCTCCGGGGCCAGTCTCCGTCCTCCCAGTCGGTGGAGGAGCGCGCGTGGGGGCGCGCACGGAGGCTGAGGCCCGGGGCCCAGGAGACTGGGGGCTTTCTGCAATGCCTCGGGAGGCATTCCTGCAGGCAGCAGTGGGGGAGAGGCTGTCCTGGAATCCGGGAGTCTGAAGTTAATTATTTGTCTTGAGAAGGGGGGCGGGGAAGGAGGCCCGCCATGGGAGCTGACTTGGAGTTTGTGTCTGGTCTTCTCCTGGAGGGTGGGGGGTGCAGGCAGGAATTGAGGGGTCAGTGCAAGCACTTGGCAGCCGGCTGGGGAGAGGGGAGCCGAGGACAGTTCCATGGGGAGCAATCAGGCTTTGTGAAACGAGCCGGAGCGCTTTCTGCTGGTCTCTCCAGGCAAAGGACTGGCCCTATCTTCCCTGAGGGTCCCAAAGGACCCCCACCCTCTCTCTGACTCCCTTATTGTGCCTCCTGAAGTAGACCTGTAGGCGTGGCCTGAGAGGAGGGACCGTGGGCGTGGGGGTGTCAAGCTGGGACGGAGGGTTTAAGATGCTGAGCCCTCATCCTCAGGGGACCCTGCGGAGGGCGGGGCAGAGCGCCACCTACAGGAGCCCTACGGAGTTCCAGGTAACAAGATACCTCGCTAGAGAGGGGATGGGAATGTGCACAAGAGGCTTGGGGGCTGGCATTTGTTGGGGTGTTAGCACCTGGATGTGGGGAGTAGCAGGCCAGCCTGAAAAGAGTGGGTGGCGTTTGCAAAAGGTCACATTTGGAGTTGGCGCTGGGACCTTCAGATGTGCGACATAGAGAAGTGGTGCCAGAGACCAGCAGGTGGGGACAGGGAGGATGGGGGCAGGGAAGACGGCTCTGACTTCAGCCTCCTGAGTGGAGAAACAGGAGAGAAGAGTGGGGAGTGGGCTGGGGACAACTGGATGAGACCAGAGGTTGATGGGTTGGGGGGACACAAAAGAGGAAAACTGAGCCCCAGATATCAGAGCCCGTGGGGATGGCAGGAACCAAGCCAAGGAACTCCGGCCAAAGCAGGTTTGGAAGAAAGAAGACAATTTAGGGTTCAAATGAGGCTCTCCAATCCTCCCTTGGGAGAGTGGGGGTGGGAAATGGGTGACACAGTCCCCTGCCTCACAGGACTAGTGTCTGCTAGAAACCCCTTTAGCCACCCCAGACCTGGCCTCATAATTGCTACCTCTGTGGGGAAGACCCTCCCCTCTCCTTCCTCCTCTTCCTCCTCCAGACCCTCCACTGCCCAACCCAACCCAGAGGAGGCATCTGGTCTATTCGATGTCTGTGGAGTCAGCTTATACCCACCCCCCACCCACGGTTTTTACTTTCTTGACTGCTGGGGAGGGATTCAAGTGGGGTGGAAATGGCTGTCCCAACTCCAGGCCCAAACTCAGGGGTGTGGAGCAGAGGGAACAGCCGCCCCTCCCTGTGCACATGCTCCTTCTCTGGAAGGTGAGTGGGCAGGCGGACGGGTTGGGGCTCAGGCTGCCCCACTCCCGCCCCTGCAGGGTTTGGAAAACAGGACCCAGGAAGCCTTGGCAGCCCCTCACCTACAGGCCCACCTTGGATTCTTGTCCCCTTCAGGTGGGGTCATCCTCAGGGAGCCCCCTCAGCTTGCGGACATCCACGACTCCGGGCAGCAGGAGCCAGCCCACCCCTTAGCCCCTGCTGGGGCCCCTCAGGAGCAGGGGCGCCTCCTGGAGGAACGGCTGGGAAGGCTGGAGGCCCAAATGATAGCACTCAGAGAGCAGGTAGCAAGGGAGGCGGGGCGGGTGTGTGCGATCTAGGGAATGGCGGTGCGCCGTTAAAGGAAAGAAGGGTTGCGCCTTGGGGGGGGGGTGTGGGAGGGAACAGTAAAATAGAGTTTGGTTTTAAATGCACGTGGAGAAGTTCTTATAGGAACAGTTCTTAATACTTACTCTTTCCTACAAAGGAAGAACCCCCAGAGTACTGATTCATCAATTTAGATGGAGCACCTACTGCACATATTATACATAATCAGAAAAGATTTTGGATGGATAAAGGTCTTCAGTTGTTGAGGGGAGGGATTGGGTCCACTTCTGTCCAAAGGAGAGGTCTGGGGAGCCCGGGGGCCCCCCCGGGGAGACTGTCCAGACTCCAGATCTTGAGAACCATGGTTAAGTGGGCCGCTGTCTGGAGGGGACCCACCTGCCTCTGCCCTGGAAGCATCAGATTTCCTTCTCTCCCTGGTCAGGCTTCATGAGCCACAAATCTGCTGGGCGTGTCAGATGGTGCAGAGCTGAGCCAGCACCTCCTGCTTTCCCCTCCGCCTCTTTCCCACAGAACAAGGAGCTGGAGGCCAGGGTGAGGCAGCTGGAGTCTTGTGAATGTCGTCCGCCTTCTGCTCAGTGCTGGGGACTGGGGCGGGCCTGGCCCGAGGGTGCTCGCTGGGAGCCTGAGCCCTGCACAGCCTGTGTCTGCCGGGAGGGGGCTGCGCTCTGTGAGCCCAAGCCCGGGCTGCCCCGTTGCCGTGGTGAGTGCTGCCCTGTCTCCCCGCCAGGCCCACCTGGGCACCTGGGGATGGCCCTGAGCGCCTGAGTGATGGCACCATCTCCTCCCCAGGCTGCAGCCACAATGGTCAGGCCTATCGCAATGGCGAGACCTTCTTCCCGGACGCCTGCACCACCTGCCACTGCCTGGTGAGTTCCCAAGACCCACCTGGGTATCCAGGTATGGGGATCCCATACCTATCCCCCTCACCTGCCTCGTGTAAGCTACCTCTCACTATAGCCTGGTGCGCAAGGTGAGCAGTGCCATCTGCCCGCCCCTCCCCCAAAGCCTCGCCACTAGTGGCTCCAGATGATTCCAACTAGCTCTATTTTCTGGGGCTCAACCTCCCCCATGCACATGGTGGGGGTCCCCCAGCCCGTCTGATTGGGGCCCAAATGATAGCACTCAGAGGGTGTGGCATGGAGGGTGGAGGGGCTGGAGCTGCTTGTCTTCCTACATCGCCCCCTCACCTGTGGACCCTCCCTAACCCTGCTCATCTATCTGTCCCCCTCATCTACCTGCCTTGTCTCCATCCCTTGGCTCCACATCTACCTTCTTCCAGCCTTTCCTTCCTCACTTTTCCATTTAGGAAGCTCTCAGGTCCCTTCCTATGATCTCTCGGTTCTGGGAATTTGCTGGCACCTGGAAGAGATGGTTTCTGGGGCTCAGGAGCAGCAGGAGAAGATGGGGGTGGGGGTAGGTTGTCTGTTTTCTGACCTCAGCCCGAGGGTAGCCCACGTACCTTGAGCTGCTTTGGCCTCTTGTTCCTCCACTGTGTCGTGGTCCAGGGTGAGCTTTGGGTTCCGGAGGCCGGGCCCTCAGGGTTCTGAGGCCCGTGCAGCACCCCTGTTGGCTTCCTCACAGGAAGGAGCAATAACCTGTACCCAGAAGCCATGCCCAAGGGAACCCTGCCCAGAGCCAGGAGCGTGCTGTCCGGACTGTGAGCCAGGTCAGCCTCCCTCCAGCCCCGGCCCCACCTCCTACACTCATTCTGGCCCCCAGGGCCATGGTGTGTCACCTACCACGTGCCCAGAGGGCACCTGCCTACTCACTCTGGCATTCCGGGGAATTCAGAAGGGAAGCACAGCCAGCAAATGTGCTCTCTGGCCTGGGGCGGAGCCAGAGCCTCTGTCTGATTTTTTTCCTGCCCTCAGGGGGCTTCTGACCTAGTTGAGAAGATAAACTGAAAGTTAATGTAACACAAGATTTAAGATCCAATGACCAGATTAAAAGAACTGCAGGAGGGCATCGTGTGGGTATCTGCCAGAGCAGATGGTGGGAAGGCAGGGGGAGCCACTCAAGACTGTGTCATGGCTGGTCACCTGAGCCACATCTTCAAGAGAATGTGAGATTTCACCAGCAGGAGACAGTTATCTGTGGCCCTTTCGGCACAAGAACAGGGTGGGGAGATGTGTGTTGCCGTGAATCGGGCTGGAAAGGCCCAGTGGAAGCAGCCTGCTGTAAGCCTTGCAGTTGGACTTCCCTCTGTGGCAATGGGGAGCCATAGAAGGATGCAGAGCCAGAATGTGGCTTGTTCAAAGGAGTACTGTAGGAATATTCATCTGTTTGGGCTAGATGCAAGAGACCAATTAGTGGGCTAGTACGGTAGTCATCTAGGCATAGAGCCAGGAGGCCAGGGATGGCAGTGGCTGTAGAGGGGGTGCTGTTTCTAAAGAAGGGGCAGGAGCTGGTGACTGGTGAGGTACCATGGAATAGTGGGAAGCTAAGAAGGCAGTGGTGCCAGGGACGTGAAGAGAAGCGGGGGTGGGGGGACAGTAGCTCTGCCCGGGGACGCTACTAGCTCACAGTCAGGGACAGGGCTGTCAGATTTAGCAAAGAGAATATGGGATGCTTTGTTAAATTTGAATTTAAACAGCATATACTTTTTTTAGTGTTAAGTACATCTCATGCACTGTTTGGAACATACTTACACTAAAAAAGTATAGATTGTCTATATGGAATTTGATTCAGCTGAGCATCCCGTATTTTATGCAGCAGAATATCAACTGGTAGTGTGAAGGGCGGGTCAGGGGCTCAGGAGACCAGTGGGGTCTGGAAATGGAACCTGGGAGTCGTGGCCTGGGCTGGGGAGTGGTCTGGGGAGCTGGTGGAGCTCAGAGAAAAGGGACATGCGCGCACGCACGCACACACAGAACTCTCAGGATACGTGGTGCCTCGAGGCCACTGCTAGTTCGTATATCGTTGGTGAAATTTTGTAAAAAAGCACCCTTTCCTTAATGCTTCTATGGTAAAATAATGGAAATCTACTGGTAACATTTACATCAGACACTTGACTGCCATCTGCTGGGAAGTGGTAGGAATTCCGGTTCTCACCTGAATGGTGCCCTTGGACGCGGTACCCTTGTGCGTACTTTGGCTTCGGTACTATGGGTCTCTCATGTGGGGGCCTGGCCCCGGTTTTGCAGGCTGCCCTGGAGGCCACAGGGCTGGGGAAACGTGGCACCCAGAGCCCTGTGTCATCTGCACCTGCCAGGTAAGGGAATCAGAGCCCAGCCCCGACCACCATACACATCCCTGATGCTCGGCATACCCCAGGAATTGAGGCTGCAGCCTGCTGGGCACACTAGGCCAGCAGAGTAACTCAGTTTGGGCAGTGGAGAGGGAGGGAGGGCTCAGTGTCCGCTTTGCAGGCTGGGACCATGCGGTGCCAGGGACCCTCGTGCTCGGAGCTCAACTGCCTGGAGAGCTACACCCCTCCTGGGGAGTGCTGCCCCGTGTGCCGGCCAGGTGACCTCCTGCCCTGCCACTCCATCCCCCAGCCCCCCTGTCGGTCCAGTACCTGTTCGGGGTCATGCCCTGCCTTGGGTGATGTCCCTTTGCCCTGCTGTCTGCTGACCTGTCATCCTGGCAACCCTCCCCAGGCTGTGAATATGAGGGCCACTCCTACGAAGACGGGGCCAGCTTCCTGTCCAACTCCAACCCTTGTCTCCAGTGCTCCTGCCTGGTGAGTGCCCTCCCCCCACTTGGTCCAGGCCCTGCTCCTCCTTATTCAACCCCTGCCCCTACCTTGGGCCACACCTGCTGCTCTTTCATCCCCTCACGTACCTTCCAAGACCTGTTGCCGGTGAGGTTCCCCTCCATCCTGGCCCTGTGGCCCGTCCCCCAAGGGTGTCAGACACCTGCCCACCCCGTCCTCTCTGGGAGCCAGCCCCGGGCCTGGCTGCTTCTCATAGCTCTCGGTGCGTTACAGAGCGGCCTGGTTCGCTGCATGCCCGTGAGGTGTCCGCCCAGCTCCTGCCCTGAGCCGGTTCCCAGGCCCGGGCACTGCTGCCCAACCTGCCAAGGTAAGAGGCTGCTACACCATTTCTTCCCCTCCGGAACCCATTCTGCTGACCCTGACCTGGGGGGTTTGCTCAGTCGGGGAGCAATGCCCCATCAAGCTGGCTCCAGAGATGAGGTGCTTGGGCTTGCATTCTGCCCTTGCCACGTCATGGCTGCGTGCCTCTCAGGGAGCTACTCTGTGCCTCAGTTCCCCATTTGTGAGCGGTGGATGATGACATTCTGTACCCTGATAAATGTTGACCACCATTACCCACTCTGTGCACAGAAGACACAGGCGGGCCATCCAGGCGGACCCCTAGAGGGGGACGCCGAGTTGCACAGCAGTACTATGGCAAAGGCAGGCTGAGAAGCAGGTGCCAGGCACTGCGGAAACTCAGAGGAAGGAGACCCAGTCCAGCCTGGACACAGGAAGGAGAGCGTCCTGGAGACAGCGTGTTCTGGGTGAACCCTGAGGATGGAGAGCAGTTAGCTAGGTGATGGGTGGAATAAGCCAGAGGGCATTCCAGGGAGAGAGGACAGCTTGCACAGAGGCGTGGGACAGACAGTGTGAGGTGGGTGTGTTAGCGGGAAGCTGCAAGCATGCACCAATGGCCAAAGCCTATGGTGAGAGATGAGGGGGCCCCCCCCAGAGCAGGGGCAGGTGGGCGTGGCCACACTGGGTCCTGGGATACCTGGAAGGGCAGGCTAAGGAGCTTGGGTCTTACCCTATCTGGGCCTTGGGAGCCCCTAAGAGTCTAGGCCAAGGCATGACATAGTCTGGTTTGGGCTCAGGAGAGAGCCCCCAGGGGGCCTGTGGAGGACGATAGGGGCAGGCTGAGCCGGCAGCTAGGCTGGCTCCCACCAGGCTTCCTTTCTGCCCATCTTCACCCCACACCAGGCTGCACGGAAGGTGGTTCTCACTGGGAGCACGGACAAGAGTGGACTGCCCCTGGGGACCCCTGCCGGATCTGCCAGTGCCTGGTAAGCCCTGCTGCTACTCCACACCCCAGGTCCCCCATGTTCATTCTTTCATTTCACTGAGCACATCCCATAGGCACTGGGAGGGGACAGAGTTGGAGAAGACCTGATGCTGGGCACTTGGGGCGGGGGGATGGGGCTGTGCCTGTCTGCGTGCCAAGTTCTGAGCACGGCAGGTGTGCAGCATGGATTTGTGAAGTAACTCAAAGAGCTTGCAAGCTCCAGGAGTGAGACAGTGCAGGATAGGAAAGGCAGCATCAGTTCTGGGGAGATTTCCTAGAGACATCTAGAACTGGGCTGTCCAATCTGTGAACTAATGCGTGTGCTCACTGAGCCCTGGAAATGGGGCCATTCAATCTGACTTGGGCTGGAGCATAAAATACACATGGGATTTTAAAGACTTACTGTGAAAGAAAGGAATATAAAATATATCATTAATACTCTATGTTGATTGTATCTTGAAATAACTGTTGGATAGATTGAGTTGAATGGAATATCTTAAAAAGTCATTTTAGCTGCTTCTATTTTCGTTTTTTTCCCTTTTTTCCCCCTTTCTTTCTACTTTTTGAAATTTGACCACCAGAGAAATTTTTTAAAAGATTTTATTTATTGGAGCTCCTGGGTGGCTCAGTGGGTTAAGCCTCTGCCTTCGGCTCAGGTCATGATCTCAGGGTCCTGGGATCGAGCCCCGCATCAGGCTCTCTGCTCAGCGGGGAGCCTGCTTCCCCCTCTCTCTCTGCCTGCCTCTCTGCCTACTTGTGATATCTCTCTCTGTGTCAAATAAATAAATAAAATCTCTGTCAAATAAATAAATAAATAAATAAATCTGTGTCAAATAAATAAATAAAATCTCTGTCAAATAAATAAAATCTTTTTAAAAAAAAAGATTTTATTTATTTATTTGACACAGAGAGAGAGATCACAAGTAGGCAGAGAGACCGGCAGAGAAAGGGGGAGAAGCAGGCTCCCCGCTGAGCAGAGAGCCCGATGGGGGCCTCCATCCCAGGACCCTGAGATCATGACCCGAGCCGAAGGCAGAGGCTTAACCCACTGAGCCACCCAGGTGCCCCTGACTACTAGAGAATTTAAAGGGACTTGTGACGTGTATTATGCTTCTATTGGACAGCACAGATCTAGAAAATCATGGAAGGGGTGGGTTTAGGTCTTAAAGGGTGAGTAGAATTGAAGCAGGGAGAAATGAGGAAAGACACTCCAGGTGATAGAGACTGAATGTTTGTGTCCCCACCCCCCAAATTCCTATATTGAATCCTAATGGTATTAGGAGGTGGGGCATTTAGGAGGTATTTAGGTCCTGAGGGTGGCACCTTCATGAATGGGATTAGTGTCCTTGTAGAAGGGACCCCAGAGAGCCAGCTCTTCCTCTCTTCAGCCACATGAAGACACAGAGAAAGGACAGGTGTCTAGGAACCTGGAAGCAGGTCCTTGCCAGACCCTTCTGGCACTTGCTCTTGGACTTCCCAGCCTCCGGAACGAGAACCAAATTTCCGCTGTTCATAAGCCCCCCAGCCTATGGGATTTCACTACAGCAACTGAAATGGTTGGACTCTTCCCCTCTGTAACCATGTGCTCCCCCTCCCTGCTCACACGGACCACTCTCCCCAACATCTGTGAGAAGAGTGACTGGCCGTCCACTTAAGGGACTGGCAGTGTGGAGCCCCGATGCAGGTGTGAGCTCAAGGGGTGGGATCTGTCTGGGAGGGGCCACGGGGAGTAGCGGCAGCTGTGGCTTGATTGCCAGCTCCCAGAGGTGGGTGTCACACCAGGCTGGGCATCTCATTTCATTCCCATAACAGGCTGTGAGCACAGGACTATTGTTTTTTTAAGGATTTTATTTGCTTATTTGAGCGAGAAAGAGAGAGAGAGCGCGCGCGCGAGAGAGTGAGCAGGGGGGAGGGGCAAACTCCCTGCTGAGCAGGGAGCTGGATGCAGAACTCAATCCCAGGACCCTGGGATCATGATCTGAACGGAAGGCAGACACTTAACTGAGCCACCCAGGTGCCCGAGGACAGAACTATTACTGTCTTTTTTCAGATGGGTAAACTGAGTCACAGAACGCTTCAGTAACATGATGGGTTATACATCTGTATTGGTTTCCTGGGGCCCCCATAACAAAGTAGCTCAGACGGATTGCCTTAAGCAACAGAAATGTATCATCTTGTGGTTCAAGAGATCAGAAATCCAAGATCAAGATGTCAGCAGGGTTGGTTCTTCCTGAGGGCTGTGACAGCGAATCTGTTCTAGGCCTCTCCCCTGACTTCTGGTGGTCTGCTGGCGATCCTTGGTGTCCCTCAGCTTCTTCCTTCATCCTTACATGTTGCTCTCCTTGTGTGCGTGTGTGTGTGTGTGTGTGTGCATGCACATGTGTGTGTTCAAATTTCCCCTTTTTACAAAGACATAGTTACTGGAGCCACCACCCCACTCCAGTATGACCTCATCTTAACTAATCACATCTGCAATGACCGTGTTTCCAAATAGGCCACATTCTGATGTCCCAGGGGTTAGGACTTCCACATATGAATTTGGGGGGACACAGTTCAACCCATAACAGTGCTTAGTAAGTGGATTGCAGGGACTCAATTGCTGTTCCTGCCACCTGACGGAGCTCTAACGGCACCTTCCCCTGCCCGCCCCCCCTCCCAGGAGGGCCACATTCAGTGCCGCCAGCGAGAGTGTGCCAGCCTGTGCCCATACCCTGCGCGGCCCCTGCCAGGCACCTGCTGCCCACTGTGCGATGGTGAGTCGGTGAGTGGCGCCTGGTGCAGGGGTGCAGAAAGTTCATGGATGGCCCAGCGCAGTCTCCCACGAAGGCCAGCCAGGACAGGCAGCAGGGGGAGCAGGGTTCCTGAGAAGGGTCTGAGGCACCCTCTTCCCCAACAGGCTGTTTCCTAAATGGGCGGGAGTACCGCCGAGGAGAGCTGGTGGGCTCTGGAGACCCCTGCTCGCACTGCCGTTGCGCTGTGAGTGTGGCTGCCTGGCAGGGAGGGGCTGGCTCCCAGGCCTGCCTCTCGGACGCTGACCAGACCCTATCGGCAGAACGGGAGCGTCCAGTGCGAGCCTCTGCCCTGTCCTCCTGTGCCCTGCAGACACCCAGGCAGGATCCCTGGGCAGTGCTGCCCAGTGTGTGATGGTGAGCTGGGGGCTTGAGTCACCTGGAGGGGGGCAAGCACTGGCCCCAGAGAGGCTCCAGGGGTGCCTGGGCACAGAGGTTCGGACCTATAGGAAGCCCCTTGGACTATAGTACAGGAGAAGTCCTTGAAAAGCCTAAGCTCCTGTCACCACGGGTGAGGGGCATGTTCTCACCTTGCCTTCTCATGGCAAACTGGGCCCCAAGGTGGGGCCCGAGATCCTGGAGGTGGGGGAGCCTGGCGCATCAGGGTGGGCGGTGGACGCCTCGAGGTGGTGTGAGGCTTCGCCGTCAACCTCCTGCTCTGTCCCCACCCCCCGGTCCTCCTGTTCTCCTGTCCAGGCTGCGAGTACCAGGGACACCAGTATCAGAGTGAGGAGACCTTTAGACTCCAAGAGAGTGGGCGCTGTATCCGCTGCTCCTGCCAGGTAGCCAGTCCAGCCCTCTCCCACCCCAGATCTGAGTCAGCCCTTGGGGACCCTCAGCCAGCGTCCCTCCTAGGCTGGCGAGGTCTCCTGTGAGGAGCAGGAGTGCCCGGTTGCCCCCTGTGCAATGCCTGCCTCTGGCCCCCAACTCTGCCCAGGTATGTGTGGGGAGGGGGCGAGGGAGGAAAAGCTTCAAAGGAGGGCTGCTTCCAGCCGCCACAGATGGAAGGGGGGGATTGCCGGGGCCACCTCCCATTCCGGTGTGGGTTCAGAGACCACCGTGGGGATGGCAAAGTCAGGTTCCTGTGGTCTGGGAAGGTCAGGGATGGCTGGAGGTGTCCCAGTTGCCCCGGTGACAGCCCCCCCCCCACTCCACTGTAGCTTGTGTGCTTGATGGAGAGGAGTTTGCTGAGGGGGTCCAGTGGGAGCCTGATGGTCAGCCTTGCACAGCCTGCTCCTGTCATGATGGCGTGCCCATGTGTGGGGCGGTGCTTTGCTCCCCAGCCCTCTGCCAGCACCCTACCCAGCCCCCTGGTGAGTGCTCCACACCAGTCTGGCTTTCTTCCCCCATCCCCTGCTTTGTCCAGCTCCCCCCACCCCCAGTTTGTTGGGCTCTGATCAGTCTGTCCCACCCAGGTTCTTGCTGCCCCAGCTGTGAGAGCTGCACCTACCATGGCCAAGTGTATGCCAACGGGCAAAACTTCACAGACGCAGATAGCCCTTGCCACACCTGCCACTGCGAGGTAGCTCCCCGGGTTCGCTGCTGCCCTGCTGAGCCCCTCCTGGGGCCCACCCCCATTGCCCTTTCCCCTGCTCCCAGGAGGGGACTGTGAGGTGCTCCTTGGTTGACTGCCCTCCCACAACTTGTGCCAGGCCCCAGAGTAGACCCGGCCAGTGCTGTCCCAGGTGCCCAGGTATGTGCTTCTTGCACCTGGGGGCCCTAGACCCAGCTCTCCCATGACCCTCTGGGCTCACCAGATACCTTAGAAAGCAACCACCTTTGGAATTGTTTCCAGCCGGACACAACTTGGAACTCTCTGGAACTCACAGAGTATGGGCGGGAGGGAGAGTAGAGATTTGTTTCTCCTTTTGTGCTACTCCAGGACCCGTCCCTCCCATTATGTATGTCCTCTTCCCATCCCCTACCCCACCAGTCAGGTATATTTGCATATCTTTCTGTATAAAGCAGGTTCATGCCACAAACATTTGGGTCTGGCATGCAGATACTGGGTGCTGGCGTGCCACGTTCCCTGGATCTGCCCCAGTGGAGGGTCTGTGCCAGGGTGTGTCTCACAAACACACACACCTGCACGCGTGAGCTCCCGGGCTCTTCCCTCTCAGAGGCAGGTAAATGGGCTCAAATAACACACACACACAAACATGCGCACACACACACGCATGCACACATGCACATGTGTGTGCCCACGCACACATAGGGTGTGCTCAGAGAGATACCCACACCCGCCTACATGGGCCCCTCCTCCACTCTCTCCATGGGGCTTCCTCTTGGCCTTGCCTCAGTGTCTCTGGACTCCAAGCATCGATGGGCTACCAGCACAGCTCTAGAACTGTCAGCCCCTACTGTGCCCCTTCCCCTGCCCCCATGCTCAGACTGCATCCTGGAGGAACAAGTATTTGTGGATGGAGAGAGCTTCTCCCACCCCCGAGACCCCTGCCAAGAGTGCCAGTGTCGGGAAGGCCATGCCCGTTGCCAGCCTCGGGTCTGCCCCCCTGCCCCCTGTGCCCACCCACTGCCTGGTTCCTGCTGCCAGAGCAACTGCAACGGTGAGGTGGAGGGGATAGGGAAAGGGGGGTGGGGGGTGGTCTCCTGGGATGGCTTGGTCCCATCTGTGGGCTTTCAGGGCTGAAAGGGCGGCATACCCAGGGAGGAGCAGGGCCCCTCCCGTTACTATAGCTGCCCCTTCCCCCAGGCTGTGCCTTTGGTGGGAAAGAGTACCCCAATGGAGCCGACTTCCCCCACCCCTCTGACCCCTGCCGGCAGTGTCGCTGTCTGGTGAGTCTGTCCCCGTGGGAGGAGGCCTCCCAGGGAGGGGGATCTCCTCTGCCCCCCACCGCTAAGAAGCCCTGGCCCGTGGCCCCCTGTTGCAGGGCGGCAGCATGCAGTGCCTCACCCGCCGCTGCCCTCCGCTGCCCTGTCCAGAGCCGGTCCTGCTGCCCGAAGAGTGCTGCCCCCAGTGCCCCGGTAGGCACAGCCCTTGGGCAGACCTGCCCGGGAGAGAGCGGGGAGGCTCCGCAGCCTCTCCCTGGACCCCTGACATGCTCTTCTCTTGCTCAGCCATCTCCTCAGGCTGCCCGCGGCCGGGGGGCGGGGTCCCTGCCCGCCACCTGGAGCACTTCTCCCTGCCTGAAGACCCCTGCCACCGCTGCCTCTGCCTCGACGGCTCCGTGTCCTGCCAGCGGCTGCCCTGCCCACCTGTGCCCTGCGCCCACCCGCGCCAGGGACCCTGCTGCCCCTCCTGCGATGGTAACGCCCCGGCGGCGCCCCCAGTGCCACCCCCCCGCCCCCTGCTCCTTCCCACTCTGTCCCACACCCTCGCCCTACCTGGCGCCCTCTTAGTCCGCAGCACCCTTTCTCCAGCCCCTGACGCTGTGCCATCCCAGCATCCTCCTCCTTCCAAACCCACCCCTCCCACCTCCTGGTTCCCACTAAGAATTGGGGAGACAGTGCCCAGTCCGCAGGGCCTGGGAGGCTGTGAGCCTGGCAGACAGCCCCCGCTCCTGCCCTCCTCACCTGCCCCCCTAGGCTGCCTGTACCAGGGGAAGGAGTTTGCCAGTGGGGAGCGCTTCCCCTCACCCAGCGCCTCGTGCCACGTCTGCCTCTGCTGGGAGGGCAGCGTCCGCTGTGAACCCAGGGCCTGTGCCCCTGCTCAGTGCCCCTTTCCTGACAGGGGTGACTGCTGCCCTGTCTGTGAAGGTGAGGGGCAGGGGACTGTGGGGATGAGGGGCTGGGAGGGCGGGGTCAGCATCACCTTTACTGCCCACAGTGGATCCACAACATCTATCACATAATAATGAACACTGGACTAAAACCTGGAGTTGCTCCTGCCACTGATGCCATTTGGCTGTGTGACCTTGGACAAGTTACATAACCTCTTTGGGCCTCCTTTTTTTTTTTTTAGTTAAAAATGCATTTTAAAAATGTGCATTTTTTTAAGATACATATAACGTAAAATTCACTACCTTAACCTTTTTTTTTGTTTGTTTTATTTATTTATTTGACAGACAGAGATCACAAGTAGGCAGAGAGGCGGGCAGAGAGGCGGGCAGAGAGAGAGAGGAGGAAGCAGGCTCCCTGCTGAGCAGAGAGCCCGATGTGGGGCTTGATCCCAGGACCCTGGGATCATGGCCTGAGCCAAAGGCAGAGGCTTTAACCCACTGAGCCACCCAGGTGCCCCTACCTTAACCATTTTTAAGTGTAACTCTAACTTTAGTTCCTGTAAACAAGAGAGGGTTGAGCAAAACCCAGTTCCCCAGTCTTTGGTCACCCTTGTACTATCTTAGCAATATTGTTACAGACACTACCACCTGTAATTTTATTTAGGTAACTATTTTTCTTTTTTTTTTTTTCAATTTTATTTATTTGAAAGCAAGAAGACTAGTGGGAGGGAGGAGCAGAAGAAGAGGGAGAAGCAAACTCCCCGCTGAGCAGGGACCCCCCCCCCCATGCGGGGCTCAATCCAGGGACTCCAGGATCATGACCTGAGGCAAAGGCAAACGCTTAAGTGACTGAGCCACCCAGGCACCCCAATGAACTTTCTTCAAATCAACTTTTAAATTTAAACCTTTTTATAAAAGAGTCTTTATAGCATACTGTAAATGAATTCGATTTGCCAGGAATGAAGGTGACCATAAATATTAATGCAGTTAAAAATAAAACATTAAATCTGAGTCTGACACTTGCCTGCCAAGGCTTTGAGACTCAGACACGCCTCTTTTTTTTTTTTTTTTTTTCCTGTTAAGTCTATTTTTTTCTTTACAGCAGTTTTAGGTTCACAGCAAAAGTGAGAGAAGGGTACAGAGGTTTCCCATGTCCCCCCTGTCCCTGCACCTGCACAGCCTCCCACGTGCCCCCACTGGAGGAGGGCATTTTATGAGCCAACACTGACACATTATGACCTGAAGAGCCCCTTCTTTTAAAAAAAAAAGGTGGTCAGCAAGAGTCGGAGAGCGGCTTGGGTCAGGCTGCCACCACTCTGGGACACCCTCCCCGTCCCTGATTAATCAGAGGGCTGGAACCACATCTCCTGGGCCATCTCAGGCTATCTCCAGCTCTCCTCAGCTTGGGGACGTTGGTGCCTTCTGGCTGGGCAGGGGCCTGCTGAGTGTTTATCTCTGCGGACAGATTCTGTGTGGGTCTTTCCCGATAGACTAGACGGCAGGCTAAACGGAAGGAAGTCTGCCCTTCAGCCAGCAACCCCACGCCAGACCCCTCTGCCCCGCTTCCCCTGCCTGGCTCGAGCCCTCCCCTCACCCCAGCTCAGGCCCCAGCAGGGAATTGGACCACTGCTCACCTCTCACCCTTTGTGCCCTCTGTCCTCCCTTTCGCCATCCTCTCTTGTAGGCTGTGAGTATCTGGGGGAGACCTACCTGAGCAGCCAGGAGTTCCCAGATCCCCGAGAGCCCTGCAATCTGTGTACTTGCCTCGGAGGCTTCGTGACTTGTGGCCGCCAGCCCTGCGAGCCCCTAGGCTGCAGCCACCCACTCACTCCGGCTGGACACTGCTGCCCGACCTGCCAGGGTAGGACAGCACCTGCCCTCCCTGCCCCTTCTGGGGCTCCCAGGGGCCCTGTCACCAGGCCTTGCCACCATCACCCCTCCCCTGAGAGAGCCACAAGGCAAACCCACACCCTGTGCTCTCCTCAAACTACGCCTGTGCCCTCCTGTCTGTCCCTGCTATCCCCTAAGACTCACGGTTGTGCTCATCAAATAACTGGGCCTTGTGCTTCCAGAACTTCCTGCTCTTAAACTGTCTCATTGCCTTCCTAAAATGGCACATTACCAGACTCAGACCCATTCGATGGCTCCCAGGCCCTTGAGTCAGCAGTCATGAGAGGCAGCTTCCTTCCCTCCTGGCTTCTTTTGGCCACGATCCTGACTGAGCCCGGCCCACATCTAGCCTTCATTTCCAGGAGTGCCTGTTCCTCACCTCGTCTTCCCATGGACCTCAACAGATGGCAACTTGCCCGCCATCTTTGACCCCAGCTCCAGTCCTCTCCCCCTTCACGCCTGTGGGGCTCCCCACTTGCAGCTAGCCAGAGGCTGTCTTCCCACCCTCCCCTCACTGGCCATGGCAGGCCGCACTTGCCATCTCCCCCAGCCATGGCAGAGGTCCCCGGGCCCAGCCACGCAAGGCCGTGGGGGACTGGGCTGATGGCCACTCTTTGGCTGTGCTTCCTGCCCTGCCAGGATGCCTCTATCATGGAGTCACTGCAGCCCCTGGAGAGACCCTTCCTGACCCACTTGACCCCGGCTGCTCCCTCTGCACCTGCCAGGTGAGGTGGCCTATTGGAAACCTGGTAACCTTTCATCGCTTAGTCCTCCTCTCTGGCCAGGAAGACCTTGTTTCAGCCCACCCACCCCACCGTCTCCCGGGGGTACCATCTGGTGGAAGAGGATTGGTTCGGGTCTCCCGGGCCAAGGGAGGGGGGCTGGAGTCTGGCAGGCTCAGTAGGGACACCCTACCCTGGGGCAATGTGTAGCCTGTTTGGAGGTGGTGACAGCATGGAGTCAAGAAGTGGCAGTGTGACCTCTCTCCTTCAGGAAGGTTCTGTGCAGTGCCAGAAGAAGCCCTGTCCTCCAGCTCTCTGCCCCCATCCCTCTCCAGGACCCTGCTTCTGCCCTGTTTGCCACAGTGAGCTGCTTTCCACATGCCCTGCTCCCCCTCATTCCTCTCCCCTCCCCCCGCCTCTGTCCGCCAGGCCTGTGGTTGGACAGGGCAAGCTGGCACAGCCTCTCACCCAGGAAATGTGTTTCCCACAGGCTGCTTCTCCCAGGGCCAGGAGCACCAGGACGGGGAAGAGTTCGGGGGGCCCCCAGGCAGCTGTGAGTGGTGTCGGTGTCAGGTATGGTAGGGAGGGGGCAGAGTGGGGTAGGGTGGGGACAGGGCCACAGTGCCTCTGGGGCACCTGGCCTAGAGGGCATCTCCTGCAGGCCGGCCGGGTCAGCTGTGCGCGGCTGCCGTGCCCTCCTCTGTCCTGCCCGCTCCAGGTCACGGAGCCAGGCAGCTGCTGCCCTCGCTGCAGAGGTATGCCTGGCCCCATGGGGCTGTCTCCTTGTTTTGCCCCTGGCCCCATGCCCTGTATCCACCCCACCTCCCTCTCTTAGCTCTCCCCTGGCCACCCCCTCCCTGTCCACACCACCTGGCCCTCTCACGCCCTGGCTCTTGAGCGCTCCTCCTTGTCGGTCTTCAGTTCTTCCTACCTCTCCCTGCCCCTGGCCCGCCAAGACCATTACCCCTCAAAACTGCCCCCTTCCTCACCACACTCTGGTCATCATCATCATAATGACGATTCACATTTGCTGAGCACATCCCATCTGAGCTCAGCACTCGACACATATCTCATTTAACCCACACACTATCAGATAGGTACTGTTATGATTCCCATTTTACAGATGAGAAAACTGAGGTACAGAGAGGTAAACATAACTTGTCTGTAGTCATGCAGCTAGTAAGTGGCAGTCAGGATTTGCAACTTAGCCATCTGGCTCCATATTGTTACCTGGGGCACATGCTTAGCGATGGAACCTTTCATTCTTTCTGCGTGCACTTATTACACACCTACTGCATGCCAACTGCCATTGCTGGTACTGGTCTACTATTCATTGTAACCCTTGGTCTAGAAAGCAAGCAGACATGGAATGGGATTAAGAACCCAGGGGTTGTGGCCCTCAGCCAGGGTCCTTCCCCGCCACCATGCACAAGAGCTCTGTCCCAGGCCACCTTCTCACCTCCTCCCTGAAGGTCCCGCTCCTGGCACCCACATGCCCTGCCGAGCACCCAGGGTTGGGGGGAAAAGGGCATACCGGCAGAACCAGAACTCAGAGCTCACCCGTGCCCACCTGGGACACAGGCTGCCTGGCTGGTGGGGAGGAGCACCCTGAAGGCAGTAGCTGGGTGGACCCCCAGAGCCCCTGCTCCTCCTGCATGTGTCATGATGGCGTCGTGACCTGTGCCCGCCTCCAGTGTGTCAGCTCCTGCGCCCGGCCCCACCAAGGGCTCAATGACTGCTGCCCTCGATGCTCTGGTACTGGAAACCTGGGGCCAGCGTGGGGGAGGCAAGGAGGCAGCACCTGGTCCACATCTCCCTCTGGGGCTGGGCAGCAGAGCCGGGCTGTTCTAGAAGTGGCCCCATTCTTGCACACACTCCAGTCCCTGGAGCTGGGGGTCACTGCAGGGAGAGAGAACCCCACCCCCTGGTGTTCCTGCCAGCCTAAAGGCTCCCTGGTCCTGTTCTGCTCCTACCCTCCCCCCCACCCCGCCCCAGACTGTGAGCATGAGGGCCGCAAGTATGAACCAGGGGAGAGCTTCCAGCCTGGGACAGACCCCTGTGAAGTGTGCATCTGTGAGGTGGGTGACGGCATCGCTGAGGGGTGGGGAAGCCTGGACCCTGGGGGGCACAAACACTATGAGGGTCAGAGAGAGGATTGTGCCTCTGTGGCCAGGAGGGGAGGCAGGACTTGGGGTGAAGTGAAGAGCTAAGCGGGGCCAGGAAGTGTGGGTGGGACAGGCACTGAGTGGGGATGTGGGGATGTGGGTGTGGGGGCAGTGGGAAGGCCTTCTGGCTGGAGGGTAGTGTGGGTGTGTATGGGAGGTAGGGGGAGACACCTGGGAAGCGGTTGTGGGGGGATGTTAGAGAATCCCTTGTGAAGGTAATGGTGAGCAGACATATGACATCCCATGTCTGGAGACCTGGCAAGGAGGGGGAGGATAGCATGAGAGTGCGGGAGGATCAGTGGTCACATCAAGGGTCAGGCCTGAGTAACTGGCGAGAAGAGGACATCACCTCTGTGTTAGGGCGCAGGGTGAGAAGCAACCTGGGGAGACAGTAAGTCTCTGCAGACGGGAGTTTAATCGCCCAAGACGTATCCGGGGGAGGTGCAGCAGGCTGATGGAAGAGCCTGGAGTCCAGGGGAAAAGAGTGTGTCTCGGCTGCCAGGGCCTGGGACCCAACCCCTTTGCTCACTCATTTTTGTAGCTGCAGCCTGAGGGACCCCCCAGCATTCAGTGTCATCGACGGCAGTGTCCCAGCCTGGTGGGCTGTCCCACCAGCCAGCTCCTGCCCCCTGGGCCCCAGCACTGCTGCCCCACCTGTGCCCGTGAGTCCCTGGATATGGGGGTAAAAAAAAGGGTAGGATGGCCACGCCCAGAGTGACACTGGAAGAACCAGCCTGCTCTTCTCAGCAGCCCCAGCCTTCACCCTTTCTTGAGTCTGATGGACTTATGGAAGCCCATGCGCTGGCCAGGCAGCCCCCAGGGAGAACTGGGGATCCTTGACTGAAGCAACACACAGTTTATGGGGCCTCTTGCCCAGCAGGTGGCGCTGTGGGGGCGGGAGTGTTGCCCTCCTCTGGCTTCTTGAGAGCACCAAAGGGAGACCAGAGGGGCTACAGAGGTGGGGAGTTGTTCTTACCAACACTTGCTAGGATGTGCTTCAGGGAAGGAGAAGAGGACTGACATTATTATGCATCTCCTGCATGCTAGACACTGTACTTGGTGCTTTGAATAAACAGTATCCCATTTAATTCTCGGTTGCCCAGTGAGAGGTATTGTTGTTCCCTTTTACAGATGAGAAAACAGAGGTTTTCTCATCTGTAAAATGCTGAATCTAATGCTGAAGCCAGGATTAGAACCTGGAGTACCTACCTGGCTCTCTGGGCTTCCTTGTGCCATTTTTGCCAGGAGACATAAAAGGAAGTAGCAGAAGGAGCCGGGGAGGCATTCTGATGGTCCTTAGGGACCTCAGGCTAAGGAAACCACACCCTGTCCACTTCCAGGTGCTCCACTCTAGTTAATGTTCTTTTTAAAAAGTCTAAACTTTTTTTTGCTGACCCCAGAAGAAAGAGGACTTCTCTTGGACGCAGGGTGCTGGGGATAGGAGTAGGCCCTAGGCCTACGATGTCTGGGGACATAGTGGGTAGGTGGGCTTTTGCCCCCTGCTGCCCCCTTCTCCCCCCAACACAGAGTTCTTGTCTTCACAGAGGCACTGAGTAACTGCACAGAAGGCCTGCTGGGCTCTGAGTTGGCCCCGCCTGACCCTTGCTACACCTGCCAGTGCCAGGTGAGCCCTTCTGCCTCGGGGACTCCCAAAGCTCTCTCTTCCTCCTCTGTAAGCTGTGGCAGCGCCCCCTGCCCTGCAGCAGCTCCAGGCTCCCCACTCACCTTGACATCCACCCACTTGTCTGGGACATCATACCTGGCCTAGGCCTGCTCCCAATGACACCGTGCTCCCTCCCTGCTGATCTCTGCCGGTGGTGGTCACACGCCCTTCCACAGGACCTGACATGGCTCTGCGTTCACCGGGCCTGTCCCGAGCTCAGCTGTCCCCTGTCAGAGCGCCATACCCCCCCTGGGAGCTGCTGCCCCATGTGCCGAGGTAAGTGCCAGCCTTGACCTGCTGACCTCCCCCTCTGAGCCTGAGCCCACGGGGGAGCCAGGCAGGGGGGCATCCGAAGGCTTACATGGACAACCTAGGGTCTATACTCCAAACGCAGGCTTCATTCTTTTGGAGAAATAAAGGGTTACTCATGGGGGTGCAGAAAGCCAAGAAAAGCAGAGAATGAAGTCTGGATTCTCGAGGCCTCACTTGAGACTTGTCGGTGGGCTGAGGGACCCCGGGCCCACTGACCAGGCTTTGCAGTGAGCTGGCAGCTGGCCCATGGGAAGTTTCCAGCCTCTGGCTCTTTGGCTTCTGGGGCCATTTCCGCTTCCTGAGCCCTGGGGTAGGGCCTAGCATCCAGTAGGTCATCCGGATACTGGTTGAGGAAATCAGCATCAGGGTGCCCGTGGGGGGGCGGTGTGTGGCACTCCCCTGCTATGGGCCTTCTGGGTGAGCTCCAGAGAGGAGGATGTAGCTGGAAGGACAGTGCTCCCGCGTCCTCACTTCTTCCTTCTTAGAGTGTGTGGTGGAGGCCGAGGGCCGGAGAGTGGCAGATGGAGAGAGCTGGCAGGACCCCAGCAACCCGTGCATTACGTGCACCTGCCACGTGAGCAGGGGTCGTTGGGCGGGCAGGGGTGGGCGGAGGGTCTTACAGACGGATGAACAGAGGAGTCTCAGGACACTGGACCAGTGAATATGGGGTCTTTGAGGTAATTAGAAAAAGGCGGCCCCTCTGAGTGAGAGCGGGCAGCGGCACCCGTGTGCTGGGGCAAGAACTAAGGGTTGATTTCATCCCCTACTTGAACATGACTTGGGTGTTCTTTTGGGGAAGGGGCAGAGAGAAGGGGTGGGTGCCTCAGACTGTGACCCAGAGGGCCCCCAGATGTGTGAGGCCCAGGGCCCCCAGGTCCTGCAGGAGGTCCTTAGCGCAATGACTCCTCCTCAGGGGGGCCACGTGGAGTGCGACCTGGAGGAGTGCCCCGCTCTCTCCTGCCCGCAGGGCTGGGCGAAGGTAACAGAGGCCGGCCGCTGCTGTGAGCGATGCCAAGGTGCCAGCCAGAGCAACGGGGGATTGGGGACGAGCGATACCCAGTGCGAGGGACGGGCAGTTGACCCTACCCCGCTTCTTGTCCCCTCAGCCCCCGCCCAGTCGTGCGCGCACCAGGGCCGGGCTGTGGCCTCCGGGGAGCGCTGGGCCGTGGACGTTTGCACTACTTGCTCCTGCGTGGCCGGCACGGTGCGCTGCCAGAGCCAACGCTGCCCGCCGCTGTCCTGTGGCCCCGTGAGTGCCGCGGTCGAGGGCGGTGGGGTGAGTGGGCACGTGGCACCGACACCCGGGTGAGACCAGGCGGGAGGAAGGAGGCAGGGCTTAGGGAGCGGTCGCCGAGCGGTGGAGCCGGGAGTACCCGGGGCCGTGCAGTTCCTAGGTGTGGCCACAAGGTGGCGCCCAGCGCCCGCTCGCGGTGAGTCCGGAAGCCGAGCGGGAGTCCCTGGAGATTCCCGGGCAATCTCTGCGTGGGGCATGGCGGGGAGGGCGATATTGCTGACGGGATCTGGGGCTGAGGCCAGGATGAGGCCCCCGCCCTGAGTCCCGGCAGCTGCTGCCCCCGCTGCCTGCCTCGACCCGCCTCCTGCATGGCCTTCGGAGACCCTCATTACCGCACCTTCGACGGCCGCCTGCTGCACTTTCAGGGCAGCTGCAGCTACGTGCTGGCCAAGGACTGCCGCGGTGGGGACTTCAGGTGCGCAGACCCCCGTGCCTCCTCCCTAATTCCCTACACCTGTCCCTGCTGACCCCCTGCACCTGGGCCTCTCCCTCCACAGCGTGCACGTGACCAACACCAACCGGGGCCGGAGGGGTGTGGCCTGGACCCAGGAGGTGGCGGTGCAGCTCGGAGACGTGGCCGTGGGGCTGCTGCAGGGTGGAGCGGTCACGGTGAGCAGAGCTGAGGACCCGGGGAAGGTCGGTCCTGCGCTGTCCGCCGTCCACTCGTCAGTCCCGAGGCTGCCCCTCCTCCTGCTTCCCTCCTCCAGGTGGACGGGCGCCCCGTGGCCTTGCCCTTCCTGCAGGAGCCGCTGCTGTACGTGGAGCTGCAGAGACGCACGGTGATCCTGCACGCCCAGCCGGGGCTCCAGGTGCCGCTGCCAGGGCCAGTGAGGGTGTGGGAGCCCCCGGCCGGTTCAGGCCTTCTATCTGGAGAGGCAGTGGGAATTCCAGCTAGGGCCAGGGCCAGATCAGGCCAGGGAGGTGAGAAGGTTCTGCTGGATTCTGAGGGGAGGAGAGGAATCATGATCAGACATCCTGGGTGGAATGAAAGGAGATCTGAGCCTAGTTTCTAATCTTGGTTCAGCCACCAACACGGTGGGGCTCTTAGGTCCCCTCTGGGCCTGTTTTCTCACTGGTAAAAAAAAAAAAAAAGGGGGAGGGGTGCGGATTTTTGGAGGGATGTCAATTAAGGTCTCCTAGGTGGCTTCTGAGATCCTTCCAACTCCCATGCCAGAGAGTAAATTTCTCCCTGCCTTTGGCAAGAAGTACACTTTGTAAATTTCTAAAAGGAGGCTTGTCTACCTACCCTTGTGATCTGGACTCGAATTTTGCTTTATTCTCTGTAAGGCCCTAATGCCCACGAGAAAGTGACCCTCTGGAAGCGGGTTTGCATTTCACCAGGGGCCCATCTCCGCGGGGGAGCCTCTCTCCACGCATTCTCCTCCCCTACAGTGTGGAGGGTGCTGACAGTGCCTGGGGCCAGGATGGGGTCCCTACCTTTCCCCACTCCCCAATCCCAGGCTCTCTGCACAGGTGCTGTGGGACGGGCAGTCTCAGGTGGAGGTGAGCGTACCGGGCTCCTACCGGGGCCAGATGTGCGGGCTCTGTGGGAACTTCAATGGCTTTGCCCAGGATGACCTGCAGGGCCCTGAGGGGCTGCTCCTGCCTACAGAGGCTGCCTTTGGGAATAGCTGGCAGGTGAGCGGCACAGGAGCTGGGCGGCTGAGGGAGGCACATTGAGTGGGAGTCTTAGAGCAGCCTGCTTACATGGGAAGTCGGGGGTGGGGGGACACACCAATGGGTTTGGCCACTGCAGGATGATTTGGGGGCTTCTGGCCTGTCATGGTGCTGGGGCGGGGGTGGGGGGCAGGACGGCCTGATGAAAGAGGCATCACCTAAATCCGCAAGCCCTGCCTTGCCACTCGCCGGCTATGTGACATTGAATAAATCCCTTACCTGCTCTGGGCCTTGGCTTGTCCATCTGTAAAATGGGGACAAGGAGAAAGTTGCCAGTACTTCCTTTGCTGTTCCTGTAGGGAGGTTTCTTTTCTTTTTTTTTTTTAAAGATTTTATTTATTTATTTGAAACAGAGAGAGAGAGATCACAAGTCTGCAGAGAGGCAGGCATAGAGAGAGAGGAGAAAGCAGGCTCCCCGCTGAGCAGAGAGCCCGATGCAGGCCTCGATCCCAGGACCCTGAGATCATGACCTGAGCTGAAGGCAGAGGCTTAACCCACTGAGCCACCCAGGCGCCCTGTAGGGAGGTTTCTGAAGCTAAACCAAAATATTTGGTGGAAAGTGTTTTGAAGAACGTAGCACACAAAGGTCAGCTGCCAGTGGATGCTGTCCCATCAGGGTCACTCTTCCCACCTAGGTCCCAGAAGGACCGGGACCTAGCCGGCCATGTTTCAAGGGCCGCGAGGTGGATCCGTGCAAGGCATCGGGTTACCGGGCCAGGCGTGAGGCCAACGCCCGGTGTGGGGTGCTGAAGTCCTCCCCATTCAGTCGCTGCCACGCTGTTGTGCCACCGGAGCCCTTTTTCGCCGCCTGCGTGTATGACCTATGTGCCTGTGGCCCCGGCTCTTCGGCCGATGCCTGCCTCTGTGATGCCCTGGAGGCCTACGCCAGCCACTGCCGCCAGGCAGGGGTGACGCCTGCCTGGAGGGGCCCCACACTCTGTGGTGAGGGGCGATGCCCAGTACGAGTTGGGGAAGAGGGTGGCACAGGGGGCTCAGGTCTCGACGGGGTTAGGTAGCAGGAGGGCCTCATCGCCGGGGTTCGCCTATGACCTTGCCTTCCATTCCACCTGCAGTGGTGGGCTGTCCCCTGGACCGTGGCTTCGTGTTCGATGAGTGTGGCCCGCCCTGTCCCCGTACCTGCTTCAACCAGCACGTTCCCCTGGGAGAGCTGGCAGCCCACTGCGTGAGGCCCTGCGTTCCTGGCTGCCAGTGCCCTGCGGGCCTGGTGGAGCACGAGGCCCACTGTATCTCACCCGAGGCCTGCCCCCCTGTCCAACTCACTGGGGACCAGCCCCCCAGATCTCTGCCCAGCCCTGGCCAGTAGTCCCAGGGATCACCCAGAGCCAGGATGACACCAGGACTCATCAGGTCAAAAGCCTCCCCTTGAAGAATGGCTCCCATCGTGGCCAGAGCCGTGGACAGAGGGCCCCATCCAGGCCCCAGCCTGGGCCTGTGTCACACAAAGACCTCAGTGTGTTCAGTAAGAGGAAGTAAAATTGGGGGCTCTCCTAAGGCATACTTGTGTGTGTGTGTGTGTTTTCTCCTGGTGTTAGATGGTGGCTTGGGCTGCTTGGAACATGGGGTCCAGTGGTCTGTGTCCCCCGAATCCGAGAGGTGGCAGCTGTGGGAACTGAGCCCTGGACCTTGCTCACTTCTCACAGCTGCCTGGGCTGCCCATGCCTGCCATACCCTGGGGTTGCCTGGGAAAACCTGCATGGGACAGCAGGAGGACCTAAGTATCTCGGTCTCAGCTCTGTGCTCACACTATGTCTCAAGCGTGGCCCATGGTCCCCATGCTGGTCCCTTGGTGGTTCATGTAGAATCCTGTGGGGGCGCTGAGGAGCATAGAAAAGGGGCTCAGTCCTCACGTGGTGTTCCTTCTCCTCTTTGGGGAGGCTAGGTGCATCCAAGGCCTCTCTAAGAGCTGGTGACAGGGACTCCTTGCCTGGGATGGGGGACAGGAGACACAACAGACCATGAGGAAATATGGACACAGGCACACACACACACACACACGCACACACATGCACATAATACACACATAATATGCACATAATACACACATGCACACAAAACACACATGAACACACACGTATGCACCCACGTGCATATGCACACTCCTCAGAAACCCAGGTAAACACATGCAGCACATGCGTGGGCCCCTGTGTGCATTCACAGCCACATCCACCCTGGATGATCGTGTGAGCAGCATACATCCTTGTAGGGGAAAGAACATTGGTTCGGGAATAGAATAATAAGTCTATTTCTTTGAAAAGTCTCTTTGCAAAAAGGACTCTGTTTTGGGGATATAGGGGCCTTGGGTAAAAGATGAGGGGGTACCCCATTCTACTGCCAGCTCCCTAACCTTTCAGCAGCAGTGGAGGGAGAGCTGGACTGACCCGAGACTAGCCGTCTGGCCAGCTCAGCCCATGTGTGCCAAGGCCCGGAGAGCAGAGGCGGCCCTGGGCTCTCGCTGAGCGGCTGCAAAGCAGCAGCTTACCAGGCAAGGCTGCTCAGGACAGCAGGGGACGTGGCAATGACAGACCAGCTCATGTCCTTGTCCCTGCCCTTGTCATGACCTACATAAACCATGCCCTCAACCTGTTGCATCTCCTGTCGGATGAGTCAGCAGAGTGACCCGGGGCCAGCACCTTGCACTTGGAGCAGGTACCTGGGAAGTGCTCGCCCTTGTCCTGCCTGTGGTGGCTCCTGCCCCCTCCCCAGACCACGTTTGCCCCCAGCCAGTTCATCAAGGCCACTTGCCTCCTGAGGAGGAAGAAAACACCCCACGTTAGCTAGGGCACCTCGCCTCTGTGGGGCAGCTTGGATTCCGTAAGACGGGATGGGGAGGCTGGGACCCACTTTGCACAGTAAGTGCGCCGTCGGTGGCTGCGGCCCCCGTGGGGCGGGTTATGTGGATGGAGCGCCATTGCCAGGGTCATATGTACACATACAACGCATGCTCTCAGCACAGGCCTTGCCCCGCCCTGCCGCCCCTTACAGCCAAGAACCCCAGGTCAGAGGCAGGCCGAGGCTCCCTGAGACTTGGCTGGGGTCCAGGCCCCGGCTCACATGTCAGGTCCCCTGCATTACTGAGCTTGGGAGCCTTTGTCTCCTCCTCTTTCCCTGTCCTCCCCTCTCCCAGCTTCCCTCCCCTCTCCCAGCTCCTGCAGCAGAGGAGAGGAGGGAGGGAGGGGACATCTGCTCTGGTGCCCCCTCCCCATGGAGCAGACAGCCGCACCTGGGGTCCCATGGCTCCCTTGCAGCCACAGGCAGGCCTTAGCCCTGTACCAGCACCTCTTTGGACGCCCTGCGGCCCTGGGCCAGCTCCAGGCTGCCCTGCAGCAGGTGAGGGAGGTGGGGCATGGCCTCTGAAGGGCAAGGCGGAGGCCTGACTCCATCTTGTCCCCCCCAGGTGCAAGAGAGTCGGGCCTGTCGCTCAGGACTGGAGCTGCCCACTGTGTTGCTGGAGATGGAGTGGAGCCGGAGGGCCCAGGAGCAGGTAGGGGGCTGGCCAAGGGGCGTGGCAGAGGGCAGAGTGGGCACCCCTTCCCACCCTGGCACCCCATCTTTTTGCAGCTCCTGTGGGACTTGGAGCTGCTGACTGGGGCAGGGCTGAGCCTATTCTGGCCCCCCTGGGCCCAGTTCTGTGGTCTGAGGGGCCAGGCCCAGTGTGTATGGAGCCAGCGCAGCAAGCCGCATGGTGGGACAGGTGGAGGCCCTGAGCGGTGGGCCAGCAAGGTGAGCAGGGGCCTGGCTGGAGGCAAGGGGGGGCGGTCAGTGTGACATTAGGGTGATGGTGGTCATGAAGGAGGTGGGAGAAGTAGGGGTTTCAGACACAGATGGGCCTGGATTCTGTCTCTGTACCCATGCTCCCTGGGGAATGTAAGCCTCTGTTCCTTCAGCTACGAAATGGGGAAGATAATCGATCTTACTCGGAGGGAGCTCCAGTGAACTCATCCACATGAAGGTTTTGCATGTTGCCTAGTGCCCAGGACCTGCTCATTACTTACAGCCTGATGTTACTGTTGCACAATTAATGACCATCTTGATCAAATCAGTGGTGTGATGACATCTCGAAGGCTTTAGACATGGCTACAGCATGGGAGGAAAGCAAGCCTGGATTGGCTCCTGAGGCCAGAGGCCCAGAGGCCTGGGGTCTCAGTCACCAATGGTCAGAGGTTCTTGGGGCAGGTTGGCAGCCCCCTCTGAGAGCTGAGGCATCCTCAACTGTAGCGAGCGGGGCTGTTAGCGGACGACTGCTAAGGGAGGGCCCAGCCAGCATTGTTGGCCAGAACGGAAGTCTCATCTGAAGGCTCGAATGGGTGGGAGTGACCTGTTTCCTCACGAGGAGGGGAAGAGAGCAGGGTCATACATAGGCACGGACACCAGGAGGAGGGCTGATCGTGGGCCATCTTCAAGGCTGCCCACCACACAGGGGATGAGCCCCTGTGGATTGGGGCACCCTCCAACTTTCCAGACTTCCAGGCTATGCCCACTGCCTCAGGCTGGGGACTCTCTGAGCCAGACCCACTAGCTTCCAGACAGGTGAGTCTTTCTCCCAGGAAAATCTGTCCAGTTTGTATTGCCACACAAAAGGGCCAAACACTGGACCCTTTTTCCTATCTCTTTCCACAGTCCTGCCCAGCACTTCTTCCTTATGCCCAACATTCCTCTTGGGGTTCTCACTCAGTTGTACCCGTAGGGTTACCCCACAGCCCCTGGAAAGGGTGACCCCCGAATTCCAGCTCCTGGGACCCAGGGGTGGGTACAGAGCTGGGAGAGACCACCCTGGACTGGGCTCAGGCATTGGGGTGGGGAGACAGACAGGCTGCCTCCCCTTTCCAGAGCCTATGGGCTACAAGGGTGATTCTGAGGCAGCCTCTGACCCCTGCAGGGGGCAGGCAGTAGACCCATCGTGGGCCCTGGATCTGGGCGAAGCTAGGAGTGACAGAGACCCCCAGTGGGAGAGACCTCCCATGCCTGCAGAGCCTACACCGGGTACGCTGACTCCCTGGCTGGTGGCCAGACAAGATGGGGAGGAGGTGGGAAGTCCTCATCCTAAGTGCCCCGATTCCAGTCCCCTTCTCAGTCATTCTTCATCTCATACTTCTTATTGGGTGCCAAGGAGCACCCGGGGACAAGAAGTAGGTTTTATTTTATGTCCCAGTTCTACCTGTTCAGTACCAGCTGTCTCAGGCACTGGGTCCAGGATTCTGAAGCTAAACTGGGGCTCTGGGGAGGGAGTGCTGGCAATGACCGTGTGCAATGGCCCAGGGAGGAGGGGATGGAACAGCAGCACATGTCACCTGTTTGCCACCCCTTCCCCCTCCCCGCTGGGCACTGGGAACATACAGAGCATGTTGGCCTCATTGGCCTCATTATTTGGTCCCTGTCACTGCGGGGCTCACAGCTTAGTGAGGGTATAACCATAAACAAGCAATTAGAATCCCATGGGATAGATGCTGTGAACCCTGGGCCTATTAATTTGAATGAAACAGACTCTCAAATTTTTGGTTAAATAAACCTAGTTGAGCCATAAGCCTCTCATTGTCGCATCATGCACGTGAGAGAAAAAGCGAAGAGCCAACGCTTGTTTTTCTGATCGACAGAGATTTTTCCAAGGCAAAGATCTCTTGGGAATACAGAAGCATCAGTTACAACTTTATAACCAGAGAAATAAGTTATCGAGTAAGACAACAGATTAGAATTGTGAGGGGACAGGGATTGGGGTTATGTTCCCTGCTCGCGGCAATCGTTTCTAAAGGCTTGGGAGTCTTATCAGACTCCTTTGTTTGAAAGACATTTTCACAAAGAACATACCCATTTGGTTACTGTTGTGAATATTCACACATCCACATTGCATAGATGAAATATTCTTGTGAACATTCTCCATTTAGGATCTTAAGAAATCAAGTTCTTTTAACAGTTTTAGGGATGCAGAATGACTCTCCTTCCTTCACAGCTGCACGGGAGCAGAGACGTTTCCTATCTTTATTTTTAGAGTTCTTTTGTTAATTATGAAACTTGCAGTTTTTAGGGCAGGCTTCAGCCTAAAATTTCATTTCTTGAGTTTCTTTTGATTTTACTGTCAGCAACCAAGAAAGACCTAAAGAGGATTTTTCTTAATAACAGCAAAGTAAGGTGCATACAGTGGGTTTCTCGATGGGCCTAGATGGGCCCACCAGGAGGAAGTGGGGTGCCCTTATAAGGCACTGACAAGCCTGGCCAACAGACCCTCCCCCCACCCCACCCCCACCCCCGGGCATCCCGTGGAGGTTTTGAGGACAAGGGTGCGCAGGTTCCGCTCACGTTCCTCTGAGGTGCTCTGCCTTGGCTGGGAGGATGAGGAAGGTGTGGTGGGCTGTTGGCAGGCCAGTCCAACAAGCCGGCACATGGCAGGGAATTTGAAGAAAGGTGGACCAATGAGCTGCAACAGCGCTAAGTTCAAACATCAGTCGTCAGGGCATCCCCTTCCCCTTATGTGCTGGGGACTCCCTAGGCTTCTTGGTTCCAGTTCAGGTGGAATGTGTGTGAGGGGCTGGGACATGACCAGAGGGTTCCTGACATTGGTCTTTCTCCCTCAGGTGGCTTACAAGAGCCGAACCCCACCACCAGCAGTAGCTTTGGGGACCCAGGAAGCTCTGAGTTCAAGGTGAGAGTCAAAATGTTCTGGGCAAAGGCCCTCTCAGATTGGAGATAGCAGGGATGGGGTCTGCCTTGGAGGAGGCTACTGGGGGGAGGTGATGCCACCTCCTGTAGGCTGGTAGAAGAAGGGGCCCTCCCTGAAGCACCGTTTACACTACATACAGTAGGCTTAACAAGTTCAGGAATCAGGCAAGGGCTGTAATGGAAATGAGGTCCACTGGGACAGCCTCTGAAGTCTCCAGGGTCACTTGGGGAAAGTGGCCCTGACATGGGGATTCCCTCACAAGCCTGGGCCCAAATGCTCTTCCTTCCCAGGACACGGCCCAGAGAGGAGAGAGAAGACAAGCCCGACCCACAACCCAAAGGCCATCCACAAGCCTATGGGGGAGGAAGCTCGTGTCTCCAAGACCCTCAGGCCTGCCCTCCCAGGGCCTGTCAGAACCCCAAGATCCCCTTGAGGGGCTGGACTGGAGCCTGGGCCAGGAGAGGGCAGAACTTCAGAAACTGCTGAGGATTGAGATTCCTCAGAGGCAGAGAGAGCAGAAAGAGCGCCCCAGGGGTCGGAGTTGGGAGGCCCCCAGGGGGGAGGGCAAGGAAGTTCTGAGTCGGAGAGAGAAGATACACCAGGGTCAGAGTGGGGAGGCTACTCAGGCTCTGAGGGAGGAAGCCTCCGTGTATCCTGGGGGGAAGGCTCCCCAGAGTGAGAGGAGAGAGTGTCTTCAAGGTCAAAGACACAACAGCCCTGAGTGCCAGAGAGAAGAGGTCCTGCAGGAGCCGCAGAAGGAGACTCAGGGTCGGGAAGTGAAGACCTTTCCAGCTTCCCCAGGCCCAGTCTCACAAGCCTGGGGGGTGGCCGAGGGAGAGGCGCCCACACTGCCCCCGGAGGAAGGCGGCTCCCTGGGAATTTCTAGGGATTTCTGCAGGTCACCAGGAGAACAGAAGCCTCAGCCTGTGGGGAGGAAGAGCCCTGGCTCCGGGGAAACGACCACCCAGCTGACTCAGGACCAAACTGACGGCCCAAAGCCGGCCGCAGGAGACCCCAGGGCCGCGCAGGAGGGGGCGTGGCCTCCCCTTCCACCGCCGAGGCTCCCAGGCCCAGGGGCCGAGGCGCTAGCGGCCCCAGGCATCAGGGGCTCAGGCCCGCAGCAGCACCCCGTGGCTCTCCCGGGGCGCCCAGGGCCGGTGCGTGACCCACACGGGTTTCAGGACCTGGAAGGAAGCCCGGGCGCGGCGGAGCAGGTGCCCGGCGGTTCTGCTAGGCTTCTGGGCACCGTCGGGGAGCTAAGGGGTGGCGCGGAAGCCCCCGGGGCCTCGAAAGCCGCGTGGCCCAGGCTCCCGGGCCGGGAGAAGGTGTCGGCGGCCGTGAGCGCGGCGCACAAGGAGACTGCCCTGCAGCGGCTGCTGGAGCTGCACGGCGCGGCCAGGCGCCGGCAGCGACAGGCCCGCGAGCAGCAGCGGCTCTGGGTGCGTATAGCACCGCGCCGGCCAGCCTGGGGCACGAGGGGCATGAGGAACACGAGGGGCGGCTGCGTGGCCGCTGACAGCCGCCTCCCGCAGGTCTTGGAACGCCTCCGGCTCGTCTGGAACCGCCACTGCCGGGTGCACCCTCTGGGGCCCCCACCCAGCCCCGCCCAGCTCCCGCCACAGGCAAGACTCCCGGGAGAAGACGGCGGGGGCCCCGCGATCCTGCCCGGGCGGGAGTGGGTGAGGGCGCCTCCCGGGTTCCTTCCGTCTCGCACCGGCACCGATGCGGACCTACGGCGGGAGGGGCGCGTCTGCCGGGTGCTGCCTCCCGCTGGCTCCCTCGGGGGGGCCCGCAGAGCAGGCGCCCGGGGACTCAGCGCTCGGCCCCGACGCAGGAGGACGAGGTGGGGCAGCGACGGGCCTTGCGGGAGCAGCTGCAGCGAGGGCTCCAGGAGAGGACCTGGCGGCTGAGGGCCATAGGGGCCAGGTGAGGGGGAGGCCAGGGACGCTGATGGGGCGGGGGTTGTTCCCTTTTTCTGGCCTCTGGGATGACAGGTCGCTCTCACCCAGGAACACCCAGAGCTTCCAGCAGCTACTGTGGCCTCCTGGTGCTGAGGAGCCCTTGCCTGGAGAGGAGCGCCCACCCTTCCCAGCCCCCTTGAGTCGTTGCTGAATCCTCAAATGGTTGATGAAAGAGATGGGGATTAAGGAAAAAGCAAGCCAGCAAACTGCAGGCCAGCAAAGGCAGAACAGAGGTGGTTCCAAGAAAGGCCCAGAACTTTGCCTCAGGGCCTGGGAGGCCAGACACACGGACACACACAGCAGCTTCAGCCCCACCAGGAGGCATGTTATTTCTTCTTCCCTCGCTAAGTCCACTGCCTGGCCACCATCAGAGAGCCAGGTCCTGAGGGTCAAGCAGCGAGAAGGCCCCATTCTTTCGGAAGAACGATTCAATGCGGCACATCTTACAGGAGACCAGTTCTTGCTTCAGTGGGGGGCCTGCGAAAAGATGTCAGAGGCCAGGAATGGGGCCTGGGAAAGGGAACTTGCAGAGCATGGGAGCCCTGCCTACGAAGCCCTAGGAATCTGCCTGTATTGTATCCACTTTGGAAGCGTGAAGGAATAAAAGGTACTTTTGAGGAACACTGGCTGTGGGCAAACGGAACCAGCTGGGGGTCCAGACCAGCAGGGATGGCCGAACTGGCCAGTCTGCCACGTGCCATTGTTTCCCACCTCAGGCTCCTCCACAGAGCAGGTGGCAGGACACCAGCACTGCTGGTCATGGGGACAGACAAAGCTAGACGGCTCTGGGAGTGAGAGGGTTTCCTTCTAACTCCTGCTCTCCTGGGACATGCTTCCTGCTTTTGTGGGAAAATTCCTCTTTTCCCCTCCCCTTTGGGACCCTAAGGAAAGTGGGGGAAATTTTTAGGCAAAACATCAGCTGTGTTTATCCCCAGCCATCCACCTTTTTCGCCCAGGCACTCAAGCACGCGGGTGGGCAGGGGGCGACAAAGACGACACATATGGACACACATGGAAGGCGACCCATGACTGAGCAGCCTCACTTGCAATTCAGGAGCACATAGAGCAAAGGACATGGCCTCACCCAGCAGTCCTGCCACGCTTGGGGGCATGTTCCCTTTCCTGTGCCATTTAACTCCACATCTCCAGCTACACTACTGCCTCCCCCCTCTCCTCCAGGTGGACCACCTTGACTCTCAGCCTCACCGAGAAAGCAGACTCGGTCCAGATGCACAGCCTTCCCACCAACATCATCTCCCTAACCCTCTCTGTGCCCCCTGTCTCTCATGTCACATTCCAGCTCCTGGAGTTCCCCGGGTAAGCCCACCCAACCTCAGGCTTTAAATAGCACCTACATCCTAATGACCCCCAAACTTGCATCTTCGGCTCTGACCTCCCTCCAGACACCTCCGTACACAGCCGCCTCTTTGGCCCTTCCAGCACGGCCAGGGCCCACCTGTCTTCACACACCCTCCAGCCCTGCTCCTCCCCATCTTCTTTGTCCAGGCACTTGGGCCCAACACCCAGGCTTTGCCATGGCCTCCTTTCCCCTTCTGTCATTCAGTCCATCAGCAGGCTTCATGACTCCTCCGAAACATAGCCTGAATGTCCCTCAGCTCTACTGCTAATCACCCTCACCCAAGCCATCGTCCTCTCCTGCCAGGGTGATCCAACAGATGCAGACCTCAGCTGCTAGAGTTCACTCTCAGGAAAGGCTGTTACTTACAGAATAGTTAGTACCCTACCAGTACCATTCACAGGCTTAAAACACTCTGTGGCTTCATCTCCCACTTGGATAAAATCCAACTTCCTCCTTTGTGTCACTTAACTTCTGTTAGGTCCCCAGAGAGGCCTGTCTGGACAATCCAGCTTAAAGCCTCACCCATCCCTTGCCATCTCCCCCATCATTCCCTAGTCTCATCGTGGAACTGGACCTTCTCTAATGGGTCCTTTGTCTTATGTTCACGGCCTGGACCCCCCCCCCCCAGAATGGACACCCCCAACCATGTCTCGCGTGCCGAGTGCTGACAGCATGGCCTGGCTCTCAGGGCAGGGGCTCCGTGTTCACGAGGGGAATGATTTTGGAGAGGTTGGGGCTCACCCAGCTGCCAACCATACGTGAAGCTGGTGGTGATGGGGAAGAAGTAGCGCATCTCTGGCATGTCCAGTTTTCGGGTGTTGAGGTAGCGATAGCGCCCCTGGAAGTCGTGGGAGATGCCTTCATACAGCAGAGCCCGGGTGGCGGGCGGGACCGGGTACATTTCTGACTGAATAGTAGGGGTCTCCAGCGCAGGGCTGGGGGCCTTGGTTGGCACCGCTTTGGGGGCCGGTGGAGGTGGAAGTGGGGCTTTGGGGTGCAGGGTGGGCAGTTTGAGGGGTAGGCGCGCTGCAGCCTTAGCCTTCTGCTTGGCCTTCACCATTGTCCCATACTTGCGGTGCCATTCACAGCGCAACATCTTCTCCCGCAGATATTCCTCCTTCCAAAAGTTCTGCCGCAGCGTATCCATGTTGAGCTGCCGCGACATGGTAGCAGGGGAAGGAGCGGTACCTGGCTGTCTGTCCCCGAGGGGCGAGCAATAGCAAGCATAGTCATTCTGACAGCAGGGGCCGCCACAGGCAGTCACCTGGCAACCAGGCCTCACCTCACACAGGGCCAGGGTTCTACTCGCCCTGCCTGGAGCAGACCTCACACGCCTCACTCCAGAGGCAACCTCAGGCCAGGGCCCATCGGCTAAGACCCCTGATCTCCAAGCCTCTTGCAGGACCCAGGCTCGGTCTGATACCACAGGCTTCTGGGTTTCCCGTGTTTCTGCTTCCATCTGTTGGGGTCAGGTCCTTTCCTAGCCCAAGAGAGACTGAAGTCGGGGAGCCAAGGGCCTGGGCACAAGCCTTCTCCCATTCCTCCCCACCAGAGCAGTCACTGTTGATTCAAAAGACCTATCCTTGAGTTATGACCTCCTGGCACAATCTTCCTGGTCCAACTTTGCTATGCCTCTATCTTTGGCCAAACCCTTCCCAGCCCTGCCAATCTAATCCCCCCAAGGGCCTCATCCCATGCGTGTCCTTTGCAGCACCCAGCCTCAGTTTGGAGAGAAACAAGAACATTACTTTTTTAATTTAACACCAACAATGACACTGTGTAACAGCACAGGGAAGAGGTAGTGGAGAGAAAACACTCAAGGCTTCCTGTTCCCTAACCAGGCTTGACTTTAATGGCAAAGCCCCAGCAACCTGGAAGCCCCTCACTTAGCCTCTTAGTGGAATGGGAAGGGGCAGGGGGCTGGGGCTCACAACTTAGAGAAGGGCTGACAGCAAGCCTGGGGAGAAGCTGCCTGGCTGTGGGGAAGGCCCTAGCGCAGGTCCTCGGCCGTGAACATGCCCCTGGCCCTGCGCAGGATGGAGTCCTTGGCGGCATCGTAGGGGTGCTCCTTGGACGGGATCTCCAGAACAGCTGGAATGGAGCGCTGGTGGGCGTCGAGCGCATGCCGCACCATCTCTGCGATGTACTGGTTGATGAGGATAATGCCAATGTCATCCCGGTTTAGAAACTGTCTGTTGAGAGAGAGGAGAGGGGATTCCAGGCAGTCCACTGGGAGGTGGTGAGGCTGGGCGGTAGAGGGGAATGGGTTTGACCCAGAAACCGCAGAGTTCAAGGGCAAAGGTTGCTAGCTAAACTCTCTCCATTCTAACCAGGATCAACTTCATTAAAAAATCTAAGGGCCCTGGCTGTCAGGGTTGGCTTCTACCTCCCCTGCTTGGAAGACTTCCACGTGAACTGGTGCTGAAGATTAGGGCACATGCTGGCATATTCTGTATGCTACGAGGGTAAGAATATGCATGTCTGTCCCTCTATATGTACATGAAAAAAAAGCAGAAAAAGGTAAATAAGCAACTAAGTGTTTACAGGGGTAGAGAAAGGAGGTAATGAAGTGGAAAAAGACGGGGTGGGATGGGAATAAGACTTTTCAATGTGTATACCTTTTAAATATTAATTTGCAAACCACATGAATACTTTAACTTTTCAAAGGAAAACAATTTTTTTTAAGGAGGCTGATGAGACCACTAAAGGCCGTAAGGTCTATGCTGATGAGGCTGGTGGATGGATCAGAGGGGAAATTTGGTGTGAGCCAAGAATACAGACAAAAGGAGGAAAATCATACTTTCCCCAGAGAGAGAGCCTAGACTGGGATCTCCCTTCCTTGTGATCACCCATACATTAGTTAATTAAAATATTAAAAACTAATTTTACTGAGTGCTTGCTCTGTGCCAGGCACTACAGCTGGTTAGACCTGATGATCTCTGGGTCCCTTTGGATAGAAGCATGGAAAGTTCTTGGAGTAAAATCTGTCCTTCTCCCATGGTAACTTGGGTCACTTTGCCAGAATGCTTAGAGATCAGACCAGTTGAGGGCCTTTCATACCCCAGGCAGCAAGAACCAGTTTGAGCCTGCATCTCAGCGCTGACTGTGTAGGGAAAAACAGGTGAACGTGGTTTGTCCCTGAGACTTGGCAACAGGGGCCTTAGAGAAGGGGTGAGAAAGCATAGGGGGCTGGCATTCTCAATTCAAGTCTCACTTCCTGGTTTAAGGGGCATGCCTGCATTCACACTATGAAACTATTACTCTTGTCCCAGGGCAAGAAATGAGAACTTCAAATGCAAGATCTTAGCAGAAAATAGGACACTGTCCTAGTATCTGCTTGCTGTGCTCAGGACAATGGGAAATTCTAAGAGTGAGGGAACTGTACAAGCAAAGCGTGGACTTGGCTTAAGAGAGTTGGGACTGGGTTCAAACCCCTCTCCCTCTCTTCCAAATGGTACGTACTTTAGTAGGTAACCTCCCTGAGCTTTAGTTTTCCCACTTGTAAAGGAGAACGATAACCCCGACCTTACAGGATTGTTGTTAGCCTCTAAGGGACGTGAAAATACAAAAAACCCCGACCCTGACCCCGACCCCGACCCCACTGCCTAGGTGTTCCCGATGAGTGCATGGTTCATTTAGAGGCCAATCTGCAAGAACCGAGTGCTAGCAAGGCTGGGGGCGAACGTGGGCGGAGCTGAGACGGGACCCTGGGGCGGCGCCCGTCACGAGCTCTGTTCCCCTTCTTTCCTGACACAGTCATGTGAAGATGAGGACTTGACATAGCCCGGGTTTCCCCAAGCCCCAAAAGGGAACTTGGAACACAGAGGCCTCCTCCAGAAGGGCTGCCGGACCACCTTCCTTGACCCTCGGCGTCGGGGTCTGGAAGCCCAGCGCAGCCCGGCCGCCGGGTCCCCGCGCCGCCCCTGCCTACTCTCCGCGCTCCCACCCAAGGCAAAGGGTCCCATTCAGGCCTCGCGGGCTACCGTACCGGAAAGTGTCTTCGATCTCATTGATGGTTGTATCCTTCTCCACCACCAGGAAATTAGGCTGGCGGTTCTTGTTAAGCTCCCCTATGCCACCCAGCAGGAAGCCAGTCACCGTGTCCTCGTCTCCGATCACCGCGATTAGCTTCCCCCTACCCGCCATTCTCGCAGGCAGGTCCCCGACGGCCGGGAGTCACCGATGGCCCACCTCCGCAGTGCGCCGCCTTTTCGACTGCACATCCAACCCTTAGACATGCGCAGTTCGCCACTCCGCCTCC